TATATTTTACCTGAATGATAGAATATTGGCATCGCTTGCAGAATGACATCTCAAAATAAAGCAGCCTGGTTCCTATAGGAAAAAGAAGTAATGACCAGTCATAAAACTACAGCTCCTATCTCTCTACAATTCTCGAGTGATCTTGRTTAATATGTACCGCCATGAGCTCTTAAAATGAAATCAAGGCAAGGCTCAGTCTCAGTCTCTTCCCCACCTGAGTATTTCCCTACATACATGCATTTCAGGAGTTATACCTGTTCTCGTAATAGTGCTGTTACCAATCCACTTGGAATACCCTTAAAAAAACATCTGATGGAAAGAAAAAATGCATGTACATGATGTAGAGCATTTAGCATTTTACTTAATTAAGCCCTGATAAATACACTTTGAACAGACTGAGTTACTAAGCTAGCTCACAGCAATGGCATTTTCAATATAAACTCCAATTTGCATGTCACATAAGTTTGATTTGAATATTTTAGCGCTGAATGGCAAAGCGATTAATCAAGAGTGTGTTGGGATMGGATGCAGGATGCCCCTATAGCTGCGTCCGTTTGCTTGTGATGATCGATCCTCGGTGTTAAGGTTCAAAAGACCCAATATTGAAAAATAGAGTCTTTTGAAGCGAGATATCTGTTGAATGAGCAGTTTTTCACTGTTATACGACAATTATCAGTCTATTTGACTATAGAATTGGTACTTACGGTTCTTGACTGATGTCAACAACTGATACACTTTGGCACGGAATGATTCCATATTCACTCGTCCTGAAATACAAATAATGCACAATATTCAGACCTCTCGCGTTTGTGTGGTATATATTTGYGCAGTYTGTATATATTGTTTAATAATTGGTTAACTTACGATGAGGCTGAGAATGCCTTCCATTCCTGTTTACCSGCAGCCTCTGTTACCGTAAGACGATCATCCTGTGTGAAAAAACAAAAAGACTGAAAAAGTACTAACCAATCAAATAATTCTAAATAGCGCAATATATTGTAAATTAGACTWTATAAACAAAGGAATTCGTATATAATTCAGTACAATTTATAGAAATATTTAGTAATTAACAAATAGATCTCATTTTTCCGTGCGTGTGTACTCTAATAGATACACAGATGACGTCAAAATGTAGTGAGAACAAAAAAGTACGCACGAGACGCGGTCGAGTGCGTGACTGTTGTTCTCACTACATTTTGACGTCATCTGTGTATCTATTAGAGTACACACGCACGGAAAAATGAGATCTATCTGTTTTATACAACAAACAATTAGTTTTGACGTAATCCGTGTATCTATACTTTGATAACACACGAAAGCCAACCAATCAAAACGTCTGATTTTACTGAAAAGTTGTATAAATACGTTTTCCATGGTGGTGGGGTTTGCACTCTAAATTACATTTGAAGAGGACGCAGGCCCCCAATGAAATCAGGTTACCCAGCAAGCATTCCGTCCTTCGTAGTAAGCAAGTCAACCTTTTAAACGTGCATTACCTTATTGAATGGAAGAAATCCTGGTAAACTAGAGTCAAAACTCTCATTGGCGATAACTGTGAACCCATGGAACTCTATGGCAGGAGATACCTGATTTAGAGTAAAGGTATATAGAAGCAAGTTTAAAGGTAGACAATGGAAGCACATGGAATATATTTACTTTAAGCTTCAGTTTCCCCGTTGTCATGGCGGGCAGACCTAACAGGAGAAATAAAGAGAGTTTATCAGGAAATAAAAGTCTGTAGGCAAAGTGAAATCGCTGAAAACTATACCCTGTTCCAGAGTAAAATCACCGAAACTATAACCTGTTCCAGAGTAAAATCACCGAAACTATAACCTTTCCAGCATCGATAATCACGGAATTAAACCCTGACCTTGTTCCACAGAGTAAAATCGTTGAAATTGATACCCTGTCCCAGTGTAAAATCGCTAGAAACGATACCCTGTTCCAGAGTGAAAATCGCTGAAAACGATACCCTGGTTGGCGGCAATGCTGGCCTTCCTATAGTTGAATTAGGGTGGAAGGGAAATATACCTTGGCCAGGTTGGGCTTTCGGCACTAACAACACTATTCTCGTATACCTGTGATCCTTCAACGGAAAATAGGGTCTGGTTGAAAACGCATTATATTGGGCCTTGACTTTAATTTGATTGGTTTAAAAATTCCCATGCGTCATCAGTATGCATAAATCGTGACACCAAGATTCTGGCATTTTCGCTAACTAGAGCCTTCAATTTTCCGTCGAGAAGGATTTGCATGGGTTCGAAATGGTAACACCACTTACACTCCCGCAAACAATAATTACCGYTGTGCACAGATATTGTAGACATGCACGCACTGTTTCTGTTTTTTTCAGCAGTAAGTCAATAATTGCAAACCGGCGAACAATCAACTATAAGTTATAGGAAACCAACGAACGTACCTTCGATGGTGCAAGGCTTGCATCCATGATGTAATTTTCCTTCAGAGCAGCATGTCCATGTTTTACCAGTAAATCTTCCTGAATGGAAGTACGCCAGTACTATTGGATTATGAAGACATGCTGTGGATAAAATATACAGTTGAATTAGTTACATTAAAATGGAGTGATCTTCATCATGCTGTGGATAAAAGATTGAATGAGTTACATTAAAATGGAGTGATCTTCATTATCCGTAAGAACAGCTTGAAATATGCCTAGCCATTGTCATCACCGGCGGCATCCTTGTATGCTTGTATTTTTTTGGTTGAGATTCCGTTATTGCTGTTTGCATTGCAACTGCAACTTCTGACATGTCGTTGTCATTACTGTCGTCTTGGACGTCGTTATACCATTGACACTGCCATTATATTGTTATGTATGCTGTCTGGCGTTGCCATTGCTGTTACCGCTGTCGTTGTTATCGCCATTGTGCTATTGGCACTTCCAATTTAGTGTTGCTGTTGTAAATATTCTTAATGCCATCGTCTGTGATATTGTCATCCATTGACACTGCCATTGTCGTAWTGTCGTCGTTGTCATTGTCRTCGCCATTGTTCTTGACAGTCGATATTTCCATTRAAAGTGTAATCYAAATAGACWTTGAGCCAGTAGAATTTCGAGCACTGCGCRATGGAGTTGTCRTTACAGTTATCATTGATATTCTCAGTRCCCCTCACCATAATTTAATCCACAGTTAATGCGTACTTTATCAACCTCGTTCCAACGCCTATTTATCCCTTCGCTTGGGATAAGAGTCTGGAAAAGAGATTGTTACTTTATCTTTACCTGATCTAATGGCTTTTATCCACGATTTCTGCTCGTCTTCTTCGTACGCCGCCAAATAGACGGACCGAATAGACTTGTCTTTCTTYGAGCGACTGGTGTGAATAACCTGAAAACAACAATATGCTTGGCTTTTAGGATTTGTGTAACAGAACAATAATATATCAGATATAGCGTCATAGCAAATTAATCTAGCTTCAACAAATTKTTTTCGTGTTCAAAGTTTTAAGACAATTTCTACCCATCAACAATAATTCTTGTTCCCGGTACGGTCTTTTTTTTCATGATGAGTCCCAAAAACAAAGGTATACCCGTCATGTTGGATGAATCGCTCAAGAAGAATTACTTAGTTAATTTTCATCCAACATGGCGTCTATGACGTAATGAGCACACATCAGTCAAACCAACTGTCACAACACTTGCTTTGGGTACCGAGCCGCCGGGTCATTTTGTAASTTAGAGAAACAAAATTTGCCAGAACTGCCCTATTTAGCCTTCCGGATTTTGATGCCTAGTTAAATGAATTGCGATTTACGGCTTTCAGTAACGAAGAGTCTTCAAAATAAATGACGTCATACCTGGAAGCAAGATGGCCGACTAAAGGCGACATCGTCAACTTCTTCAACAGCTTGTATATCCACGAGTTGCATTGAAAACTGAGGTTTTTCTTGATTTGTCTTGAACATTAAAAAAATAGATTGAAAAAAATTCTTAATGTTTGTTAATCGGAATCACTGTAGCAAAATTCCGCTACTATTCTCTACCCACTCAGTTATTGTTATTGTCTCTCTAATTTCACAAAAAAATGAATACCTTGTATTTCACGTAACACTGCTTTAAAAAGGAAATGATTTACACAACTTTAAGGGCTTGGTATCATTTGCAAATTACAGCCAGTAAAAAGCTTTATTGCGAGAGTCCCACTTAGTGTAAGTTTTGCTATTTATTGTCAGCGGCTTTCTGTAGCTTGGCAGAAAGTTAATAACAATGCTTCATAGTAGTTTATGCAATAAAGGATGGCGTGCGTTTTGTCAGTGACGAAAAAAAAAACACTCAAAAACGTCAAAACTGACTCACTACGCTCGTGACATTTTAAGCCATTTCTCGTGTTCTCCCAACGTGTGCTTTTTRCCGATTACGCACAACAATTTATCCTTTTTTGTTTTTTTAATATGATATAGAACGTTAGTCATGCTCGTGAGCGTGTATTTGCCGCGKCGAATCAGAGCGTTTAACAGTTTATAGAAGGTCAGTGCTCTTACATATTATTAGAAATGGTCAAGAGTTTGACGTCGTCAATTAACCGTRAATTTGCACGTGAATAACAGTGTAATTAATAGTGTAAAGATTGAATTGTACGTTAATAATCCTTTCTCAGACGGCTAGTGAGACAAAGGAAGTTATCAAASCAGAAACCAAAAASTCTTRYATTGATTTGTGTTAAAAATCACTGTTATAGTTAGAGAGTACATGTAGTAAAGACCTTATCTTATGATAACAATGGTCTGCTCTGTTACATTCGATTCCCACTTGACTCACAGAGCTTATACATCATGTTAGAAATCTTTCTGATTCTTCTAAACAAACTTTGTGTCCATAAAGTGTTGGAAAAGCTTGTTTCATATTGTTGTGGAGACGTTTTTCTAACACTTACCCARTCAGAAGAACTACGGAAATACATTAACTCGCTGTTTGACAAGACACCAAAGACTCCTTCAAAAGCCAGCTTGTTGATAAAACTTCGTCGTTTAGTACGACGAGCAAGAAGATTGCCACAGTACTTTGGTCTGGTGGTGTCTTTTTCCATGGTTTTGATGAATTTCAGTGTAGAGTTGATAATGTCATTTAGTGTGCGTGCAAATCTCTTATGACTACTTGGCTGGCAGTCAAAGTCCCAATAAGGCATTTGGAGAATCTTTTTTGCATATTAGGACACGTTGTTTGTCTTAAACAATACTATATGACAAGAAGAGTAGACATCAAGGGAATCAAAACAATGCCAAACTATAAAATTGATCCACAACGGTTCACATAACCAAGCAAAATGCAAGGGTGAGACTTGCTTTTTGTCTGTGTAGCAGTAATTTTTTAAAGAATTGCTTAATTTGAAATAACGTATTATTTCAATTGATGTCATTACTGGCGCTATTAGTGACACGTACCGCAAACGATTGTTTGTTCTGAGTTTATGATACAATAGACATGAGGCATAAGAARGCTTTCTCTTGATAAACTGTTTGCTTATGGGAAAAATAGCTTCATCGTCCATGACGACCATTCTAGGCCGTCACACCATGCCCTCTCTTTTTGGAAACCTGAGCGGTACTGGGTGTTAGTTTTAGGAACTCTTTCCCAGACCTCACCACAGGAATATCGCCAATAAAGGATTTTTTCATACACACTTGAAATTACCTTGACAACAGTTGCTACGCCGCCGTGTTGACGTAGCTGGTTTATAACCGTGGAGAATGAAGGCATAATACGAATATAATCGGATCCYTTTTTTGAAGTATGATATTTTGTACTGTTTTTCAACCATTAGCCTATTCCTCTTTCTATCTTTATCAGAGAATTGCAACAATTATATTTATTAAAGACTTTAGTCTTCGTTTTCCATGTATCCCTTAAATACATAATCCCAATTTTAGCTTCTTGACACCCCCCTATTTCCCAACTTTCACCCCCAACCAAGACGGCTCMTTTAAACACAGATGTTTACAAAGTAAGCTGCTTTTGGATTCAATCTACTGAGCCGGATTTGATGTCACAAGAATGATCTGTGTATTCTAGAATGTTTAATCGTATTGTAAGCGCTAATGGCCAAGTGCAACCGTGAGAAAATTGGGACATGATGCTATGATTTCCAGAACCTTACAGTCTTAATCGGAAAATCCGCATTGAATKATTTGAGGCAATATAACGGAACACGGGAACTTGGCGATTATGTGTTCGAGAAGGTATAATCCTGACATCGAGGTAAACTCGCGTGTTTATWKTCAAGTATCCGAACGACAGACAAGAAATCAACCCACGTAGAAGAGAAATGTGGATATAGTAAACCCGTGAAACACAGAAGACAAAGAAAAACGTGCAAAATAATAAATTGGTTGTACATAAAAGTGTATTTCACGGGCTTAAAGAGACCTTTCTAAGCTCGTGAAACAAAGTGTAATATTCATGAGTGTTGTAATGAGCGCTACATCACAAAACCCGTGAAACAAAAAAAAGAAAGAAAAACAAAACGTTTTCTGAAATAAAACCACAATAAAGTCGAGTACGCTAAAGTGCCATTTCACGTTTAAGCAATAAAGGGAAGGATTGTCCTGCGCTTTGTAAGTGAAGAAAAAAACGCCAAAATGACTTACTGCGCTCTTACTTCAGTTCTGCGCCGATTACGGTTAGAGCTGTTAAGTCTTTTTCACAATAACTATTCAGAATTTCTGGGTGGGACCAATGACGCCGGAATGAAGTCATTCATTGAAAAACAATAAACGAAAAATGCGGCTTAAGCTTCTTTTAGTCTCAGATTTATTGTAATAGATGAGTTCAATCATGAGATATATGCAGCACGCTGGTTAGACCACCCAACGCTTCGAGAGGTTTCGCAATGTATACGTTATGAAGCCCCTTATAAGCCCTCGCTAATCGCCATGTTTCAACACCCCAGATTCGGATCAATCAAYTGATTAGTGGAAAATTCAAAGTCAGWCTTCTTATGATGACTTAGATAAAACAATTTGCTTTCTTTGACTTAAGTCGACATMAATTTTAATTCTTCAATGGATGATAGCCGTTGATTGATGAGATTTTTAAGAGTAGCATACCTAAGCATATCATGCGACAAAACGTGCGACTCATTTCGTTCATGAGAACGGAACCATCTCTGCAACGTGAAAAAAATATATGAAAATCCCAGATGTAAATTTTTACACTGTTGAGCCGTCCAAGTTTGAGAATGTTACACATAATTCAAAGTTATCAACACTATTTAATCAAATGTTGTTTGTTTAGTTAGTTAGTCATTAATTTTGTTTTGTACGTTGTTGTTGGTTTTGTTTTTACAATATCACATAACAAAATACAGTAAGATATTTTGAATCATTATTCAAGATAGCAAACAGAATAGTAATTATTCCGTCTAAAACGAGTTTGTGCTTTTGCTTTGTACATCCCATAATTTCAGCATAATTCAAAATGGCGACCGTTTTTGTAAAAAGCTTGTTGCTGCATGTGAAAGATAATCAAATTTACTGAACTTTTTTAAAAAATGCGTAATCCTACTCTATAGCTAATGCAACGAGCGTGTTACAAAAAATTAACAAACTGGTGGCATTTTTATAACTTTTATAATGTTTTTTTTTTTGGATTCGCAGTCGTGCGTGCTTAGATCTTTCCATTCTATGCGGTAGAGTCGTTTGCGTGTCCTCACACAAAATTAAACATTTGCTAAATACACAAGTTACTACRTCTGACCAGCAGGCCTGCTGCGCCTGCAAACTTACCAGCACGCGATGTTATCGACTAGACATTTAACTCTWGTGACCATGTCTATTAGTGAACCATTAGATCACACCAAGGCTCAGTTGAAAACCTATATYAGAAGGCCGARA